GTGGCCCCATGTGCGTGCCCTTCGTGGCCCCGCTGTCACCATTTGTGTCCCCCTCACTGTCCTACGTGGCCCAGTTGCTACCCTCAGTGGCCCCATCGTTGCCTTCTGTGGCCCCGCATTATCTGCACTTCGTGGCCCCCGCTCGTTCGCGCTCTTCGTGGCTCCATACGCATTCCCTTCGTGTCCCCGCTGTCCCCCTTCGTGGCCTACTTCGTGCCCTTCGTGGCCCTGCTGTCGTTCTCTCTCGCTCTCGCTTTCGCTCGTCGTCGCCGTCGTCGTCGTCGTCGCCGTCGTCTTCGACGTCGTCGTCGTCGTCGTCGTCGTCGTCGTCGTCGTGGTCGGTCCCCTGTCCGTCCCTGTTGGGGTCGGGTCGACGGTCCGCGGCCGCCCCGCCGATCAGCGCTGCCGCTGGCCAGGCGGACGGTCCGCGGCAGCCCCGCCGCTTGCCGGGGCCCGGCCTGCAGGGAAAAAAATATACCCCACAAAAGGGGTTCGATCGAAGACGAAGAGGGCGGGTATCGAGGGTTTGGGAAATACGCGTTATTGGATACCCGAGCAGATAAGTGCGAACAGTCTTGAAATTGTTGTTGTTGTTGTTGTTGTGGTTGTGGTTGTGGTTGTGGTTGTTGTGGTTGTGGTTGTGGTTGTGGTTGTGGTTGTGGTTGTGGTTGTGGTTGTGGTTGTGGTTGTGGTTGTGGTTGTGGTTGTGGTCGTGGTTGTGGTTGTGGTTGTGGTTGTTGTTGTTGTTGTGGTTGTTGTTGTTGTTGTTGTTGTCGTTGTTGTGGTTGTTGTTGTTGTTGTTGTTGTTGTTGTTGAATATTATTACTTCCGAAGAATAATTATTGTTGGGCCCCCTGGTGCACGCCCCCCTCGCCGCGCCTAGGCCGCAGCCACATTTTCATCATTTTCGTGAGGAAGTCTCAGGCAAAACGGGGGAGTCCGGATCCGGTTGTTTTGTTGACGCCCGCTTTCCCTGTCAAAAAACAATATAAAATGACATGTCTTGTTCTAACATAACCAAACTTCAAGAATCCTTTGCAAAAAATGACACGAAGTGCACACTCGCGCGCGCAAGATGAAATCCTTCCAAAACCTTAGTTTTCGTAGCGATTTTAACATAAAAACATGAAACACCCAATGGTTTTTCAAAAAAAAAGTTTCAAAAATTCATCCCGCGCGCTCTTGCGGATTTCTTAGGAAACCCAATACTTTTTCAACATTTCTGTCAAACGGGCTCTTGCGAGCAACTTTTTCACGTGCTTCGAACTTCTGCAACAACGGTTGCGCGCCTGCCAGGGCCATCATCCCTGTCAAATAATACCATATGGGACACATTCGTTTTTTCTTCGCGCGCGCACGCCGAAATCTTCAATTGCAGGGGGAAAAGTCGTATACTAAGCTAGCTTACAGAAAATGTTACCACAACAAGTCATTGTACCCATGCGCCAGTGTAGTAGCCAAGGTCGTCCGCAGGCCACGAAGTGAGGTGTCCGAACGTCATAGGGCGGGAAGCTGGGTGTGGGTGGTGGCGAAGAGTCGTTTGGAAATTTGGTAGAGCTTGAACCGGCCCCCCCACAAAGTGGGGGTATTGCCCGCCTCCTATGAAAACCCTGGCACTGGTGAGAACGGAGTGTCCCCACGTGCTAGTAATTGTTGTTGTTGTTGTTGTTGTTGTTGTTGTTGTTGTTGTTGTTGTTGTTGTTGTTGTTGTTGTTGTTGTTGTTGAATTTTCACATCTGAAGAACATTTCTTGTTGATCGCCCTCACCGGTGCAAACTGTTTTTCTCAATCAAAGTGTGCCCCTCGACGCTCGCGCGCGGTTCTTTGACAGGGAAAGTCTTGATGGTCAATCTGCGCCCGTGGCCCCCGGATTACAACAACAACGGCCCCCGCCTGAGACTTCCTCCAAATTCACTCAGGAACCCAGCTCCCGCTTAATAATTCGTTACAATTTACTCAGGATCGGTGCTCCCGCTTGTGACGCCCTCGCAATTTAGTCAGGACCCCCGCTCCCATCTAAGACTTTTCCTCACAATTTACTCAGGAAAGGCGCTCCCGCTTGAGACTTCCTTGCGATTGAGTCAACATTTCTTCGCAATTTATTCAACCCCGCTCCCGCCAGAGAACCCTTCACATTTTATGCAGGAATTGCGCTCTCGCCTGTTACGTCCATACGATTTATTCAGAAGTCGCGCCTTCGACGCTCAGGAAACACGCTGCGCCAAGGATGCCGTCACAATTCTAGACGCTTCGCTTATCCCCTCCAGCCCATCCCGAAACGATGTCCAGGCGAGTTGAGGTGATCAGGGAAGTGCGGCAGCAAAGAGGAGGACGGCCGACCGTGCAAAGGAGTGAGGAGGAGAAGGAGGAGGTGGATTGATGGATGGATGAGGGAGTGGGAAGACGGAGGATGAATAGGATGAGGAGGAGGCGGAGGAGGAGAAGGAGGAGGAGGAGGAGGAGGAGGAGGAGGAGGAGGAGGAGGAAGAGAAGGAGTAGG